GTTTTTAGGATATAATATTTCTGCCTCGGGGTTTCAGATGGATCCTAAAAAACTAGAGTCTGTTCTACAGTGGCCTTTACCCACTGGGTTGTGTTTTCTTGAATGTTTTATATTAGTTTGGCAGAGCATCCCAACACAAAATCACTTTTCAGTTTAGTGTGAAACGGCTTTAGCCATGGTAGTATGATTGTGCCTTAAAGATTATTTCTGTAAATTGTGAATTGAGTTGTCAGTTAGCTGACAGCAAGCATAGAGCAGTTACTATCAACCTGGGACAATTACAACACTCAGATAAGATGAGCCAGAATTGCTGTCTAAGCATTGAACTAAAATGTTCAATGAATCTCTGCTAGAATATAATCGGAGCATGCTGATTGGCAGAGACACTTACTGGTTCAGTGAGAATGCTAAATGTAACTGTTACAAAAAAAAACTTCCAAAAAGTTTTTAAACTAATTATTTTATTTTTTTCCAATGTATCATTTTTATTGGTTTTTGTCATGGAAATGTAAACAGCGGGGTACAGAAATGAAAAAAGGGGAAGGGTATATAATTACACCCAAGCAGGTCACATTGTTGAGTGCAAATACTATTGATTTTTACACACACATGTTGCGCAAGATACATTGTATGGTTACATTATTGTGTGGGCAATTTTTCAGAACTGCATCATTGCCTGTGTGGTTAGCTGCTGGGGTTGATGGGGTTAAGGGGGAGGGGTGGAGGGGGGTCAGCAACCGGGTAAGGGTAAGGGTGGTGGGTTGAGATGTCTCTACACCTTGTTGTGTTTTGCGGTGGCTCTTTTAGCCACTGTTCTCCAACTACCTCTGCTTATACGGGAGTTTAGCTTAGGGGGGCTTCCCTGTATTACATTTTCCTCGTACATCTGGGGTGGGTTAGTTCCCTATTACTGTATTCTCTACGCTGACCTAGGATGACACGGGCTTCGTCTCATTGTCCAGACCAGTTGGACCAGATCAGGTTGTATCGTGCTAGGGTGCCCTGGATCGTATGCGCTATTTTCTCAAGGTGTTGCGTGAGGTTTATTCTGTTAACTACCACTGTTATTTCAGGGGCTGAGGTAGATTTCCAGAGGGAAGCTATACAGTGTTTGGCTGCTAGGGTAACATGGGTGGTCAGCACCGCCTCCGGGTGGGTCAGTGATTTGGGAAGCATGTGTAGGAGGTAAGCCTCCGGTGTGAATGGTATCCTTTTCTGTATACTGCTTTGGAGTAACATCTGTACCTGTCTCCAGAAATTGTGTAGTACTGGACATTGCCAGAAGATATGGCTCAAAGTACCCGTCTGTGCGCAGCAGCGCCAGCATACCTGTTGTGCCCCAGGGTATATAAGTGCCAGCCTCCGTGGGGTGAGATACCACCTCATCCAGAGTTTATAGGCCGCCTCAACATGGTCCAGGCAGTGTGTGGCTCGTTTCACAAGCGCCATCGCTGCAGACCATTTACTACTCTCTATTGTGCTATTGAGTTCCGATTCCCAGTGTACCATGTAGCTTAACTTATCAGGCTTGCCTATCTCCAGGAGATTTTGGTAACATAGAGAGAGTGGTTTTGCTTGGGTCTTACGCCTGAGGCACAGTGTGTCGAACGAGCATGGCTCTCTGGTGTTAGGTGTCGCTTGTTTGACCCCCTGCATTATGTGCTTAATGCGAAGGTAGGTGAAGAGTTCCCTACTCGGGATGAGGAAAGTCTGCTGAAGTGTCGGGAATTGTCTGATCTCACTACCCTCCATTATTTGGGATACCCTCTCTATCCCCTGTGCCAACCACCCGTCTAGAACCAGATCTTGTGTGAGGTATTTTAGGCTAGTCATAGGGGCGTATAGTATCAGAGGTTGGGCTAGGAGTTTCGGGGCCCACTTGTGCCATATGCGGAGAGAATGTTTTGTGGTCACCAGCATGTTTGCGTCGCGTGGGTGCGATCTGGTCGGGACCCAGAGTAAGTCTAATAGTGAATGGGGCGTAGCAGTTGCCGTTTCTAATTGGTACCACAGGGAGCGGTTTGGGGTTCTCAGCAATCTTGCTGTTTGGGATAGATTCGTGGCTATGTAGTATTTAGAAATATTGGGTACACCCAGCCACCCCTTCCCCATAGCCAGGGCTGTAATTGCCAGAGAAACCCTAGGTGGTTTCTTCTTCCATATGTGCGCGTTCAACAAGCGCTGGAATCGCTGTAGTAGCCCCTGCGGTATTTAAATGGGGAGGGCCCTGAAGAGGAATAATATTTGGGGGAGTATGATCATTTTTATGGAGTTTATGCGTCCCAGCCATGATGTGTTTTTTGCCCCCCAGCTCTCCAGCAGTGTCTCAGTTTTATTTAGCAAGGCGTCATGGTTCTGTCGGAGTAGGTTACGTCTTGAGGGTGCCAGTTTTGTACCTAAGTAGGAGAGATTGTCTTTCCGCCAGTCAAAGGGGTACTGAGCTCGCAGTGGAGTTAGGTGAGGGTGGGGCACGTTAAAGGGTAATACCTGAGTCTTTGCTTCGTTGTTTTTGTAATAGGACACTAGGCCATAATCATGGAGCAGGAGTAGGAGATGTTTCAGTGATTCTGTCGGGTTAGTCAGAAATAGCAGGATGTCGTCAGCAAAGGCCGCTATTTTTTGGGGACCTATTAGTGTGGGGATACCCGTGACGCACTCCTCCTGCTTAATTGTGTGCATTAGCGGTTCTAGTGACAAGATAAAGATAAGGGGCGACAATGGGCATCCCTGTCTCGTGCCATTTGTCAGGGCAAAGCGTAGAGAGGTGAAACCGGAGCTCACCACCACGGCTGTCGGGGAGGAATACAATGACCGGAGGCCATTGAGAAATTTGTCGGAGAATCCAAACCTGCGGAGGACCTCCGTCATGTAGCCCCAGTGTAGCCGGTCGAAGGCCTTCTCCGCGTCAAGGGCCATTAGTAGTCCCTGTGTTCTATGTACTGTCAGGAGTTCCATTATGTCTAGTGCACGCCTTGTGTTGTCCTCTACCTGGCGTTCCGGGACAAAACCTGATTGTTCCGGAGAAACGAGTGTACCCAGGAGGGGGCGTATTCTGTTGGCAAGAATTTTAGCAAAGAGCTTTGTGTCGGCGTTAAGCAGGGAGATGGGGCGATAGTTCGCGCAAAATTCAGTAGGCTTGCCCGGCTTGGGAATAGTAATTATGGTGGCCTCTAGCATTTCGGGGGGTATGGAGCCTGACTCCATGATGTTGTTGAACAGGGAGGTCATGTGGGGAAGGAGTTGGTCCTCAAAGGTCTTATAATAGTGAGCGGGGAAGCCGTCAGGCCCTGGGGCTTTATGTCGGGGGGTTTCTCGAAGTGCTTTTGAGATTTCCTCTGGAGTGATTTTGCTGGTGAGTAGTGAGGCTTGGGCGCTGGTGAGCTGGGGGAGTTCCACTTTATCTAAGTAGACGGCTATCTCCATTGGGGTTGGCTGGTGTTGTAGAGGATCTTTCCCCAGGTTATAGAGGGCACCGTAAAATGTCGCAAATTCATCAGCTATCAGCTTGGGGTTCGTCAGTTTCGTCCCGTTTTTATCTACTAGGTATGGTAGGCGCGTTTGGGCGTGTTTGTCTTTCAGTTGAGCGGCCAACAATTTCCCCGCCCTGTTCCCCTGTCTGTAATATTCGCTTTTGAGTTTGCGGAGAGCCCTCTCAACTCGCTGGAGTTGGTGGACTTCCAAGTCAGCTCTAATCTCATTGACAGCCTGTCGTGTCACGTCAGAGGGTGAGGATTTGTGGAGGTCCTCCGCAAGCCTCAGGTCCCTGAGCTTTGCTCTGCTGGTTTCCTCTAGTTTGCGTTTTAGTGTCGCTCCAGCTCTAATCAGTGCACCCCGTATCACGGCCTTATGGGCCAGCCACGTCGCAGCCATGGTTGTGTCTTGGGGCTTGTTGTCCGCAAAGTAATTCACTATGATTTTGCTTATCTCAGCAGCCCGTTCAGCGCTATCTATGAGGGATGCATTGAGGCGCCACGTGCCCCGTCCTCTCACCGGATGTAAGGTGGTGAATGAGGACAGCAAAGGGGCATGGTCTGACCAAGTGATTGAGTCGATGGTAACCCTAGCCAGAGTGTCCAGGGATTTCTCATCCACCAGGCACATGTCAATGCGAGAGTATTGGTCATGGACTTTCGAGTAGAAAGTATAATCTCTGGTGGCCGGGTAGAGGGAGCGCCACGTGTCGTGAAGGCCATGGGAGTGTAAGAGAGCTGAGAGCCTGTCACCGATAGATACAGAGCGAGGGTGGGAACCTGGAGTGCCAGATCTGTCCAGGTCTGGGTCAAGTACACAGTTAAAGTCTCCGCAGACATAAGTTTGGCCCTGTTTTATCCTATCCAGCGTTTTTAGGGATTTCCTGATAAAGTCGTATTGGTTGGAGTTAGGGGCATAAAGGTTTGCCAAGGTTACCGGGATATCATTTAGCTTACCCACCAGAATTAGTAGCCTACCATCCGCGGTTTTGTGCTCTGTTGTGCACGTGAAGGCCCAATCCGAGTGGATCAAGATACTGACTCCCCTGGTTTTATTGTGCGCTAAAGCATGGTAGGAGAAGGGGGAACCTGGCTGAGAGGAATTTTGGGGGGTTTATTGCCGAGAAGTGTGTCTCCTGTATGCAGGCTACTGAAGCGTGCAGGGCGTGGAGCTGGGAGAAGGCAAGCCTGCGTTTTTGCGGAGTGTTCAGGCCTCGGGCATTTAGGGACAGAACATTAAATTGGTGTTGGGAAGACATCAGTTGAGACCTGGGGGGGGCTCGGTGCTTCCGAGGCAGCATTTACAAGACTGGTTTACAGACAAAGGTAGTACTCTTTGGTGGAGGGGGGTTGCGTCCCTAATCCCCCAGCGCCTCCAAGGCCCAGGGTGAGCGACATCTCTAATGGGGTGCATAGTCAAGGGTAGAGTATAACATGGGGATAAAAAACAGTAAACATAACAAAAGTATATACATTTCAATAAGCTTAATAGCATTATGTGGAGACTGGTCCGCAGGTGCACCTTTCTCCTCACTGTGGGGAGGGGTAGCACCGCAGAGGATTGTCTCGGCAGTGGGGGGGGGCTCTAAGGAGAGGGTCTGTGACCGGTGGTGGACTATATGGATAGAGGGAAGGAGAGGGTCTAGTGTTGGGTATAACATGGGCACAGCAAGTGTAGGAGCCACCCGAGTTTACTGGGTTAAAGCTGGTCAACTTGGTGAGATGGGCCGTGCCACTAGGGATGCCATCAGGGTGCCTCGGGTTGTATAGGCATAGATGCGGTCGGGACAACCAGGGGCTAAGGCATTTTGTGACATTTATAAAGTCTCTTCTTCTCGCCATTGTCATAGGCGACAAATCAGCAAATAGGGAGATCTTTTCATAGCCCGGTGGCATTGCCGTAGATTTTCGTTGCGCCGTAAGTATGGCGTCCTTGGCGCTGAAATAGTGTAGCTTTGTGACAATGTCTCTCGGTATGTCTCGTGCCAGCGTAGCGGGTTTGGGTACCCGATGCGCCCTATCTAAGCGCAGGTCAGCTGGCTCCAGGCTAGGCTGGATCGCCGTGAAGAGTTGCCGAAGATACTCCGGGATATCTGACCCTGCGACAGACTCCGGGACCCCGCGCACTCTGATGTTATTGCGGCGCGATCGGTCCTCGAGGTCCACCAGTTTGGCTGTTAGGCGCGCTTGCTCCGATTCCATCTGGCGGATCTTGTCCAAGATGCCGTCATTAGCTTAGCATAAGTCGTCAGTTTTCTCCTCAAGGGCATTTAGGCGGGTCCCCACCTCGTGCACCTCTCTGCGAATGTCATTAACAGCCAGTTGTAAGTCCTCCTTCATGGAGGAGCGGAGCTCCTGCAGCATTGCCGCCATTTTTGCCTCCGAGAGAGAAATATCCCCAGGGGGAGGCTGCAGTGCCTCTGTGTCGGATCCCTGATCCGAGGCAGGTGTTGGGGAGTGTGAGCCGCCGCCATCTTGCTCCGGCCGCGTTTTGTCCCTCCTACCTTGTCGGAACAAAATCCGACGCCCGCAGTGCTTTTGGGGGCGCCATTCGGCAGGGTGAGGTCCCCACAGGTTTGGGATGTAGTGGAGGGCACTTTTACTTCCCTTAGCCGGTGATAATTGCCGCGTTAGTCCATGCGGCTGCTCCGTGAGACCGGAAGTCCCGCCCCTCAAAACTGAAATGGAAAAATCAATCAAAGTATTGATTATTTCTTTGTGTATCTGCCCCTGGCCAAATCAATGAAACAATGCGTGCACGCTCCCTGAAGTAATTCACACCAGACACAGGTTCCAGGTTGTTGAATAACTTGAGGAAAGTTTATTCAGAGGGGACGGCAAGTCCCTTTTAAAGCAACATTACATCATAAGCATTGTCAGAGATAACATGGAATAATACATCAATAATTGGTTAGGTGTTAAGTGGTTGCTCTAATGCTCTGCCTACTGTAGGTGATGTCACCGGGACCATGAGGGTCTCCCACTGTTTCCCGGCGCCATCTTGCTGCACGAGGTAGTTAGTCGATGTTAAAAGGGGAAGGGGGGGGAAAGGAGAGGTTAGAAGCTTCTAGCAGCCATCTTGATTAAAATATGTGTGCTTAGCTTTATATGTGATATATCGTGAAATGAGTAAATAGACATTTTCTCCAACTAGGAAATATGTGCAGACCTTATTTCCACAACAGTCCCCCCTAAAATGGCTATTTACCATAACAACTGCTGCTGTCCCTAATATGTCCCTAGTTGCCTGCAACCTATCTATCTTAACAAGCATCGAACACTTCACTCCGCGGGTAACCCGCAGTGGCTAGCCCACCACATCCCCACACGTGAGACTCGCCTGTTAAGACAGACGCTTTCCCTACTCTATCCCTACAGGAAAGCAGTTGTCTGTTTGAACTGATGTGCTTGTAGGGGTGTATGTGGAGTGTCATCTTCGAGGTCTGTGATGTCTTGATGTAGGAAAGTAGGGGTCACGTCATCTACAGTCTTATCTACCGCTTTTTGTAAGTATTTCTGTATGCAGGGGAGTATGCAACAGGTTAGAAATAAGAAGATGATGAACATTATAAGAACAGCTGTCCCCACCTGGAAGAGGGTCCTTTGCCAACCATTCATCCACCCAAACCATTTGTCCCACATGTCGGTGACTCCTGAATTCTTCTTTAGCTCGTCTGCGAGACTGTCTAGTTTCTCTATAGCCATAGTCACCTTACCATTGGGCCCAGTGTTGTCTGGAATGTATGTGCAGCATGTCATGGTCTCGGGGAGGATTTTACATACTCCCCCCTTCTCAGCTAAAATCATATCTAGGGCCATTCTGTTCTGGAATGTCATTTGAGTAGTGGCTTGTAGTTGTTCTGCTAGGCCCTGTAGGGCATCCCTTGTATAATTGACAAAGCGCTGCTGATTATAATAAATGTAGTTGATCCAATTGACATTTTTGTTAGCAGTTATCATCGGAATTAGGGATTCAAATCCTGCAGCCACTTCATCTCTTGCTTTGAATTCGTTAGGCACCCCCCTTGGCACACCTATGGCATCAATATACACATGGGGGTCGAAGCTCCCTCGGATAGGAGCCTCTCGTTTGGTTCTAGAGTGTGTATGTGTGAAATTTAACGTGTTATGACTACCATCTGGAATAATGTGGATAGGCATTATGACTTTGGTTAGGGCACACTCCCCCCACCATTGCCCAGTTAATTGGGACCTCAATTGTTTGTCACCACATAACCAATAGATATCCCCAATTGTCTTTGTGTGGTTCATTAGTAGTGATGCAGGTGGATTATGGTAAGTTGAGCAGTATCCTGATGGGAATTTGCCCAGATATAACCCAGTGTTCTTAGGTATTGAATAGCATGTGTAATTACCTGGGTAGATGGTGACTCCATCAGGTGGTTTCACATGTCCATGAGTGATTGGGTAAACTTTCTTCCAAGATTCACATGTTGAGGAGTTGGTGGTGGATTGTGCATACAAACTCAGTACACATAATTCTATTTCAGGAGGTAAATTCAGAGGTACTGCACCCAGATGGGGTCTGGCACCTCCACATACATAACAGTTAGTCTTATTATGTGAATTAGCATTATACCTCATCCACTCTAGCCACAAATTAGTGTCTGAAAACCCAGTTTCTACTGCCATGGTATCCTCAAAGGTGGGGTTAGCTATGGCTACCATGTCATGTAGGGTCTTGATGTGTGGTTTTAATGGGTTAATGACCATATGTGTAATCCCTACCCAGTCAGAGGAGTTTAGCATATCTTCTAGGTAAAAGGTCCCCAATGCATTATGTGAGCCACCTCCCTTCCAGTACATTCCCATCACATATTCCCCTGCATCCCTTGGACTAGGGTGTTCTATATTCAGAGTAAGTTTAATGGGAGTTGACCCTATGGGTTTACTCAGGGTCATTCTAGAGAGTAGGGGTTTCCCGTCTTTGTCAAGTCTGTCCCGTGCAACTTGAGGTCTGTAGCCCCATGGCCTACCTGTGTTCCACCCGGCAGCTTTCCATGAACTACAATGGTGTCCCCAAACTCCTCCAGTCACACAAATGTATGGATCCTTTCTGTTAGGTATGTCCTTGTATATGGCTGCATATTGTGTTTGTGGAAATGTACAAGTAACTATGTCACAGTAGTCAAAGGTGTATGTAGCTACATCAGTATTAGAAGAATTGTACCAAAAAGTGTAAACATGATCATCTTTGGTTATGGCCACTTGTTGGGCCCAGACAAAGTGTAGCAACATAAGAAAACACAAGACACATAATAAATTCATATTTCAACAGGATCAGCCTCTTCTGGAGCAGGCACTTTTTTGCAATGTGAAGCGTGTATCCAAGAACTCTTCCCAGCTAGTTTAACTGACGTTGCTGTAATCAGGAGCACTTGGTAAGGACCATCAAATCTCGGTTCTAGGGTGTGTTTCCTGAGAAACTTCTTGACCATAACCCAGTCACCCGGAAGCAGCTTGTGTGTACCTGTATTCGACTCAGGATCTGGAATAGAAGAAAACACTTGGGCATGTATCTTGGTCAAGGCATGCGAGAGGGCTGTCACATAATCTACCATAGCGTCTGACTGAATCTGAAGTTGTTGGGGAAAGTAGCAACCTAACCGGGGTGCTGTACCAAACAAAATCTCATAAGGTGACAGGCTGTATTTTCCCCTAGGAGTGTACCTTACACTAAACAACGCTAATGGGAGACTCTCGGGCCAGGGCATGTTAGTTTCTTGTGACATTTTAAGCATTCTGGCTTTCAAAGTGCCATTCATGCGCTCTACCTTACCACTACTCTGTGGGTGATATGGTGTGTGGAATGCAAGGGTCACCCCCAGTGCTGACCAGACTTCCCGTGTTAGCGAGGCAGTGAAGGAGGTTCCCTGGTCACTTTCAATTACTTCTGGAACTCCATAGCGGCAAACAATTTCTGTCAGAAGGTACTTGGCTGTAGTCCTCGCGGTGAGGTTCGTCACTGGGAAGGCCTCTGGCCATCCTGAAAACATGTCCACTATAACCAATGCATATTCATGACGTCCGCTCTTTGGCATCTGAATGTGATCAATCTGAATCCTCTGAAAGGGGTATTGTGGCTTGGCTAGGTGATTAGGTGCAGTCTTTATGACTTTTCCAGGATTGCATTTAGCACATATAGTACAAGATTTACAGTAATTCTGTATTAAAGTAGTGATGCCCGGTGCTTCAAAATACTTGTCAATCAGTGAGTTCATCAGGAGCTTTGACAGGTGGGCTGGCCCATGGGCCCATTGGACCACCGCTGAGTACATACTTCTGAGTAAGCAAAACTTGAGGTTGATGGTGTAAATATCATCACGGAGTACAGCTCCTTTACTCTTCCAACTTTGTTTCTCCTGTGGGGTAGCAGCAGCTTGTTGTTCCTTCAGGAGCCTGAGATCAGTAGGCAATGTCTGCATAGTGTAGATAGGTAATGTATCTGTGGCCACTCTTCTGTCCACTTCCCATCCTTGCCGCGCTGCCTCTTTAGCTGCCTGATCAGCTAAGTGGTTTCCACGTGCTTCTTCTGTGTCTAATCTTCCGTGGGCTTTTACTTTCAATACTGCCACTTCTGCTGGAAGTTCCAATGCATCCATCAGTTCTGCAACGGCTGCCCCATGTTTCACTGGGGTACCAGTAGCTGTAAGAAATCCTCTGGTTTTCCAAATTAAGCCAAAATCATGTGCTACCCCCAGGGCATATCTTGAGTCCGTATAAATGTTGACACGTAGACCTTCAGACAGTTTACATGCCACAGTCAGGGCTGTTAACTCAGCTTCTTGGGCAGACTTGGTTGGTTGTAGGGCAGCTGCTTGTAATACTTGGCATCCTGTGGTGACTGCATATCCAGTGTGGTATTGTCCCTGTTCATCAGCAAACCTTGAGCCATCCACAAATAGTGTTTGATCCGGATTGAGTAATGCAGCTTTGTTACGACACGTACCGTCGGGTAGATGAAGCCGCCATTTAGGCAATAATCCCCTTTCTCCAGAAATGCAGTTTAAATCCCGCCGATCGCTAAACTCCCGAACGAAGTCCACGAACACGGCAACTCCCGATCAGCCAAACAGTCGAACGCCTTCCACAGCTAGAAATAACGAAAGCGCTGTCCCAGTAATAATTCCCCCACAAACGAGACCAAGCTCCGTCTTGAGGGTCAAATGAAGTTCTGTTTAATGGGGGCTACCTGCCCGGTATTTATGCAGGTCTCCACAAGGTGGACACTCCCCGAGGGGACCTTGTGGAAGACTGTAACACATATTGGACAGTAGCCAATCGCAGTGGCTTCAATAATAGCCCTTCCCATCTTGCCCACAATTCCGTCTTCTTTACCTTGGAGATAATTGGGGAAGAAACCTAATTATCTCCCAAGGTAGAGACCATCGCCATCTTAAATTACAGTAACAAAAAGACATTAAAATACATAACTACAGAAATACCGAATGCATATGGTTCGTGTAACGTATCCCCAGACAGCCTGGATCTGAGGGCATGTTTTCACCGAATAGCGCTCAGATCCGATGTATCCAGTCGAATCGCCATGGAGTCAAAGTCCTGCACCAGTCCTTCGGTATACGAATGACTCCATGGGATGGCTGTCGGGGTGAAAGTCCATATGAATGAATAAAACTCCCGAACGACCGACGTTCGCATGCCTTGTCGAAAAGGGAGGTAGGCAGCAGCTTTTCAGCGGTGTTCGGTAGTTTAAGTGTCCGTTTTTAGTTCCATACAGTTTGTACCGAACACCGCTCTGTGTTCGTATGTCCCAAAATGGCCGCTGCCTCGTGGTCGACATGCGAACGACGACCACCCGTACGAATGGAATGGAGAGGTGTCTGCAGTTAACCACAACATTCTAATTGGGGCCAGAAGGTTAACCAGCAGCACACTCCTCTCCTGGGTGGTCGTTCGTTCGGTAGTTTCAATCGGTATTTTGCAACTACACGAACGGGGTTATAGGAACAGGCAATTCCGCGAACAAAAAGGAAGCAGACGAACCAACAATGCAGATGAATCTGTCACAAGCTTCATAAACAGTTGGTAGGTGTGTAGTTTCCATTTTCATTTGTTCAAAACAGTCATGGGGAATATCAATGAGGTCACAGTCTGTGGTGAGTGGGTCCTCACAGGCCTCTGTGTGATACCTGGGGTACCCTGTTGTGCAGTAGTTAATGGTCTTTTTATTGATCCCCGTAGAAGTTAGTTGTTCTTGAGTCATTTGGTTCCAGGTTCTGGCCATCGGGCCTAGGTCTTTCCATGAGGTGTTGAGGGATCTGGTGAGATATATATGTGGAATAGCTGTTTCCCAATGGTGATAGAGGTGTGTTACATTCTCTGGAAGGCGAACTAAGATAAGCATAGTACCTGCAGAGTCCCAGAATAAGTCAGTCAGGGTAATTTGAATTTCTTTGAGCTGGAATAGTTCTTCCTCATAGTCCATATCAGGGCTTGGTACGTCCCTAGACCACAAGGTGCAGTGGAGTAGGGCCTCTGGTTGTTCATCATGTGGAGGTGCAAGTGCAGGCAACTGTAAATCTGCTTGAACCTCTGGGTTGATATCCAAGCTGTACCAATGATGCACAATTCCCCCCTTGGGAAGTGGCAGAAGAGTGGCTGGGTTCAGGGAAAGGCATCTCTGGAGTTTTACATTGTCGGGTAGGAGTAAGGAAGTCTGTAGACGAAGGTGACGTTGGGAGGAAAGGTGCTTAGGTTGGGTTTGTTGTAGGATGGCAGTAATGTCATGAGGGGCCAACACTGTGAGGTGATGGCCAAGAACAAAATCATTGGTCTTGTCCAGGAGGGCGCTGGCGGCAAACACCGCTCGGAGGCAAGAGGGGCTACCTCTCGCAACAGGGTCAAGCATGCAGGAAAAATAACCAATAGGACATTGTCTGGACCCATGTTTCTGGGTAAGGACTCCGGAAGCATGTCCTGACTTTTCAGAGACAAACAAATTGAAAGGAAGTTGGTAGTTGGGTAGGCCCAAAGCAGGTGCTGAAGCAATAGCTCTTTTCAGATTGTGGAAACAGGTGATAGTTTCTTCAGTGAGGTGAAAGGGCTCACTCCTGAGGGCATCATAGAGTGGCTGCATGAGTTTTGATGCTTCGGGGATCCAGGACCTGCAGTATGTGATAAGACCCAAAAAAGCATGAAGAGTCTGATGTGTTGCAGGTAAAGGGAGTTGCAGAATGGCCTGCACACGTTGAGAGGTTAGATGTTTGGTGCCATGGGAAAGACAGTGGCCCACAGAGGGCCGGCACCATTGTAGCTTTGATTTTGAAGCTTTGCAACCGGCTGCAGCGAGGAAACACAGGAGATCTTCTGAGTCACGCTCTGCAGTGAGCAAATCAGGAGCACAGAGAAGGAGATCATCAACATATTGAAGTAAAACAACATCCAG